CTGCAGAGTATTTCGAATCTCGCTGGATGTGTGCAGAGAATGCAGTCACAGAGTCTTCTCGCTCTCCGATACCTACAGTCCACCCACCACCACGAGACAGTCAAGTCATGGAAAATGAAACAGACCTTTCCCCAATGGAAAGCAGTAGATGGGCACAAATCGTTCCAATTAGCAACAAGCATAACCTCATTTCATTTACCATAAAATTGTTCTTTAGCCAAAAATTCCTGATGATTCTCATTAGTGCAATTTTTTTCTCAGCGGCAGCTGAAGACAATTTGTACCAATGACGCTTAATACGGTTCTTCTGAGAGATTATGAAGTTTAAAAGCAGAGAAACTCAGGCAGTGCTCTGAGTCCTTTGGGTGCTAGAAAGAATTCTACTTAAATGCTCAAAGCATGCAATGAATATGCCTTGAGCATCAGCCTTCCAAGTCTCCTTTATCCGCTACTACCATAGAAACAGTATAAAGCAGACCTCTGAAAGACTGATTCAGGGAGGCACTTAAGCATGTGCTTATCTACATGCTCTTCTGGAGTGAGTCTAAGACAGAGGACAGATGCAAGTGATCCACTTATCCTGATGGAAAATTGACTATTCTCTGTTGCTAGTTAATAACTAAAGCCCTCTTCAAAGGGTTTGCTTTAGTAAGAGGTATGTCTTACAGAGAGTGCCCAGGCTGTCAACAGGGCAAGGATCCCAGAATATGTCTGCACAACAAAATGAAGGTGTGGCTGTAGGCATGCATACCTAGTTGCTTTCATTTAGCTAGTGTGGACAAAAATTGCAGCAAATACTTGATGATAGCTTCAGTGCAGGCAAACATCTGGCAGGTAAACCTTCTGGGACCCTGGGTACATACTCTGGCTGCTTGTCCTTGCTGGGATCTGTGTAGTATCCAGCCTATCTAGATTATACTTAGCATAGGAAAATCTACCTGTGCTCTAATCATGCCTTCATTTAGCTACGCAGACATACTGACAGATACAGACTGTATAAAATATTGTGTGAGAACATGCAATGGGTATGTGTCTTGCATTTCACCTTGAATGGAGAGATGCTTTATGCCTGGGCCTTAAGACCATGCAAAGAAATGAACAGTAGGTGAAGGCAGAGAGGTTACCAGGGTCTTTCTTCTCTTTGACTTTTCTTATCTTATTGTATCACTGCTTGCACCTGAGAAGAGCCCTAAGGTGACAGTGACTAGAAGAACCTGAATGAGTCTATTTTAATCTTCCAGGGGGACATACATGCAGGATGGTAAAGAAGAGCCTCACCAGGAGAGAAAACGAGCTATTTTAAAACCTATTTCATGTTTAATTATCTGAGACATTAAATGAAGGACGAAAAATCTATTTTACATAAACAAAAATCTTGACTTTTAACCTGAGAATTTCCCTCCCAAAGAAACATCACCAGTTGGAAATCTAGTCCATTAAAAATGAATAACCAGGAAGCAAGAAAAGTCTTGTTCCAAAGGCACTAGTTCAAGGCTTGGTAAACATGAGCTCAGTTCTCATTTCTGCCATAAATTTCTTAAGTGATCTTTAACATGACACTTATCCTCTCTGTGCTCCACGTCTCCACTGATATATCATATTCCATTCATCTTCCCTTCTCTATTCAGTTTGTAAACTCCTATACCATGGGACCACACAGTAATTAGCACAGTAAAATGGGGCCCGAAAAGTTTGTCTACAGCAGCAGTTCTCAACTGGAGATCCACGGTCTCCTGGGGAGCTGCAAGCAGGTTTCAGGGGTCCGCCTGACCCAGCCCAGTATGGCACAGCATGGCATGGCATGGCACGGGCAGGGGTCGCCTCAGCCCTCTGGGGCTGAGGTGAGTCCCAAGGAAGGGGTGGGGGCAGACCCACGCTCACAGCCTCCATCTTCTGGGTGGCACTATGGGCGGGCGGGCAGGCAGGCAAGACTCTGTGCTACTGCCATGCAGGTGAGTGGGGCCCTGGGGCACCCAGCTGTGGAGTCCTGCCTGCTGCACCCAGGGCCATGTGGCTGGGACTGGGGCACAGGTGGGCCGTGGAGTTTTTACAGCATGCTGGGGAGGGCCTCAGGAAAAAAAAGGTTGACAACCCCTGGTCTAGAGTATGGTAGAATGGGATTTCAAATTGGATTAGGTTCACCCAATTAATTCCATGAGTGGATACTCTTATTCCAGATTGAGAATGCTTTACTCCTGTTTTGTTCTTATTGTGGAATAAGAATGGCTACACATGGACCTATTCAGAAAGAGCTATTGTGACATAACCCTCCATGTAGGCAAGCCTGCAGCTGAGGTTCTTAGGTACAGCATTAATGCAATGATGAAAGTACCGTGAGGTACTATCTTGCCAATATCTATGGCCATGTTACCACATTTTCCTAGTGAAAAATAAACGGTTTTATATTCCTTGAATTTTATGAAAGACTCACAGAAGCAACAGGTGAAAGTGACTGTGATGAAACTCACTGCAAGCATCGCTCCAAGGCTAGGGACAGACATTACACATAAACCAGTTTAAGTGATCAGAAACTGGTTTAAACCTGTAACAGAACAGACATTCAGTGCACATAAACCAATTTGGAAATGGCTGAAACCAGTTTGAGATAAACCTGGCTGAATGTAGTATCAGACTTAACTGATTTGGGCAAACCGGTTTATGCAATGTCTGTCCCAGACCCATGCTCTCTGGGCTGGGCAGGGCTCTCTGCTCCTGGCTGGAGCTCCAACAGAGATGGCAGGCACCACAGCATCTGCCTGGTTTTCCCCTGCCCCATGCCTCCCCTCTCCCACAGCACAGACCCTAGCCAGCATGCGGTATGCTAGCTAATGCTGAGAGGTGTCTGTGTAAGGCAGAAGGACAAAGGCACACAGGACATTTTTTGTTTAGGGCACGGGTGGGAAATTACTTTGGGTGGAGGGCCGCTTACTGAGGGGCAGATAAATATTAATTTTCAAAAAATTATAAGGGCCCCGTGGGCCAGATAGAAGGGCCTGGTGGGCTGCATTTTGCCCACCCCTGGCTTAGAGCCTTTTGGAGCTAATCAACAGGTCAGCTGGTAATGTCCTTCCATTCTTTCCTTGGAAAAAAGTTGTGTAAGAAAAGCTTGAACTAATGACAGCGGCTTTTGTTTTGTTGATGGGCTGATAAATGCTCTGTTATCAACTCCCTGCTGGGCTGGTCAGCAGCAGCAAGGTGGGAGGGGAAGGCGGGGGGAGACTCCTCCCTAATAAGAGTATCCTGCCAGGGCCTAGCCATGACCCCTCTCAGCTCAGCAGTAAGGAAGGGAAGGGAGGGCTGCTTTAGCAACTCCTGGTTTCTAGCCTGAGCCACTGCAGGCATGTGCCTCAGTCCAGAGAGGATGTCTGTGTGGTTACAAACTAATTCAGCCTAACCAGGTTAGACCAACCTGCAATGACTGAATCAATTCAGGCTCAGGCTTTTTTAATGGCTGTCCCTAGCCCAATAGTGTAACTAAGAGCACTTGGGGAAAGGGAGTGCAAAAGTAGCAGCTGCTGCCGCTGCCCTCTTGGCCATTATGATGCCAGCACCAGCATCTGGGCTGTAGCTGCCAGCCTGTATGCCACCACCTCCCAAGGCACAGAGCTGTCCAGCGACACCTCTGAATTAGCCTGTCAAATGCACTAAAGGAACCAATTGGGAATGGAAAAAAAATGCTTCTTTTTTCCATTGTAGTAACTTTATGTGTGACTTGCAATGAGAACAGGTAAAAAGGAATGCCGAGACATGTGAATTTTATATGGAGGGGCTCGCTTGAACAAACTTGTTCAAATCCATGCTTGTTTTTTTATTTTATTTTTAGCAACACCACCTGGCCTGAGACAGAAAGAGCACAGTCCTGGATGTGAGTGTATGTTTATGAGGGAGTAGCTGGGGACCGTGTGCTTATGGGTTTGCCTTATTCATACAGGACCTAGCCAAGCTTTCAGTATTTTTAATAGATGACTGCTGGACTAGAAAAGCCTGATTGGCTGTCTTTGTAATGGACCATGTTTTATTAACTGATGACTGGCTCATATAGAGGCAGCAGAAAAGACAGGGTGTCAGGGACAGGCAGCTCAAGTGGATGGCTATATTTTGGACAAAAGCAGCACCTGCAAAAAGCAGCATTAATCCTATCTATCTCTGTGTCCAGGGACCAGGGCAGATGTCTGTGGTTAAATGTACCGTGGTGCAATCAGAAAGCAGCCTGTGCTGAAGTGCTGACTCAGAGAGCAGAGCTCTCAGCCAAGCGGAGTCCATTCTGCACTGGCAAGTCATTGAACTTGTGATCTCGGCTTGCTATAGTCAGGCAGTGAAATAGGGCTTCTCCTTCTCTGTGCCACGGCTTAAATAAAACGGATTTTCCCTTCCCCCACTGTCCTCTGAAGTAAACACTCATGGTTAAGCAATAAGGCCTTACTGCTCTGAAAATAACAGAAATGCTTATGTGGCAAACAAAGTGAGTGCTGCCTAGAGGTCAGAACAAAGACTTGGGAAGCAGAACAATTAGCTCTTGGGCTAATTATCTAGTGGTTAAGGGGAAAGGGAGACTGGACTTCTGAGTTCTATTCCTGGGCACTGGAGGGAAGTGGCTGCTAGTTACAGATCATGTTTTTCTCTGCCATATCTTCTTCCCCTGTATAAGGGGTGCATGTATTTGTTAACAAAACTGGTGTTGCCAACTCCACAAATGTTCTTGTGAATTCTGATATATTTGCTGTTTTTATTAAAATCTCCAAGTTAGGTGACAACATGAGAGACAACAAATTCAGAGGCCCTGGAAGAATGTATAGGGGAGTCTGTATTTCTGTCCTTGAATAAGGACTGAGGAAATGCTCACAACCAACCAATTCATTTTTAAAGTTCAAATGGGAAGTGGTTTCTTTCCATTCCTGAACTGAACCCCTTAAGGATTTGAAGGGGGGGGAGAGAGAGGGAAAGAGAAACAGAGAGAAAGAGGAATGGGGAGAGAGAGAAAGAGGCAGAGGTACACTAACCTTCTTTGGTGGTAAGTCGAGAGGATGCCTCTGTGTGGGCTGGAGTGTTGTAGACCAGCAATGAGCTACCTGCAAGGACAAGAAAGGACATTATTGTAATATTAATTCAGTTTATTCTAGGGAGAAGGGAAGAGAGGTATGGATAAGATGCTGTTACCACCAGGAAGTAAGGAACCCATTCTCTAAAGAGCTTGGCATGTTGGTTGCTCAGCAGTGCTGAGCTCTTTTGAAAATCTGGTGGTTGTGTTACAATAGGTGCTGTTGGGTACTAAGAAAAGACAGATGAGACCCTCACTTAGGTATCTAAATGAAAGCTAAGCTCTTTGGGAAATCAGGCCCTGAGACTCTAGGAAAACCTTGTCCAAGAGACTGGATCATCATCCACAACAAACAATCTGGTCTCATATCAGTTTGTGCATGGAATTGTTCCTAGTGGGTGACAGAGCTTATCGGCTGTGCTACTGACACTGCCCACACTACTCCTTTTTGTGGCTAGGTTTTCTCCTCTACAAAACTGGGATAGTAATTAGAGGTGGCTCAGAAACAGATTCTCACTTGCAGTGTTCTGGTGCTTCTGGTTTGTTTGCCTGGTAGAAAAACTTACCTAGAGCCATGTGCACAGACATTTGAACACTGTGAGCCTCAAAAGTGGAAAGCTTGCAGTGCTGACACTGCAGCTGGGGTGGGGAAAGAGGGGGAAGGGTCGCGGGAACTGTGCACACATTTTGGTATATTTTGCAGGCTCCCTTAGTCTGCCTGGTGACAGATGCTCTCTGCTGGAGCAGCAGTGTTCAGCAAGCAACACACTATCTCCCTGGAGAAGTGAGCGGGGGGGTGCTGAAGGATTATGTTCTCTTCTGGGAGAAACCACAGAATGTACAAATTTGTTTTCCCAGGAGAAAATCTCCTGGGAGTGATTTAAACCTGGTTGTTCCCATGTTAGTTTTCTCTTGGACCAGCCACTTTTATTCTGGAAGAAAAAGCCTGAATATCATGGTTTATCCTGGGAGAACAGCAACTCCCAAAGGAGAAACTGAATGTCTGTACAAGGTCCAAGCATAAAAAAAATGTGGCAGCAGGGGGTGGGGTGGGGCAGTTAACATTGTGTTCCCAAGCACTGATCAATTAACCCTCACAATCCTCCTGAGAGGCATTGTAGTTTAAGGCATTTGGTGATGATAAAACTGAGGCAAGGTGAGACTACGGTGCCTGCCAATGGTCATATATCAAATCAGTGTCAAAATGAGGACCAAAATGCAGGTGTCTTGTATCCTTGTCCTGCTTTTAACTGTAGGTTTATTCCCTCCACTGTAAACATGAAGAACACAGCCCATAAATCAATGTCCTGTTGAATATCTTACTGTCTTACTGAGACTTTCATATTGCCTTAAATACTTCATCCATGCATGCAGACACATACACATGGACAAACACTGCCTTCTGCCCAAATTCTTTGGTGTTATTCCTCTTGAAGAAAGGAGTCATGCAACCTGGGGGATTGGGACTCAGGAGACTGAGGATTTAGTCCCTACTCTGTGACCAACATTGGGCATGCAACCTAGAAAGGACACTACTGTAATATTAATATATTAATATTAATTCAGGGGTCAGCAACCTTTCAGCAAGAACAAGCAGCAAAGCTTGGTATAAAGGAGGGTGGCAAACACCATAGCTGATTCCACTGTCCCTGAATTGCTGATAAATGTCCCATCTCTGTGGGCTAGATAAAATTCCTCGGTCTGCTGGGTCTGGCCTGTGGGCCATAGACTGCCCACTCCTGTCTTAGAACAAAGTTTTCAAAACTATTCAGTGAGCAATGAGGGCCATCAAGCAGACTGTGTTTCCACTATGGATGGGGTTAGAGGTACAGACAGACCAGACTTTGCCACGTTTATGCCAAGCTATTTTGTTCTTGAACTAGCTCCTTTAATTTCAGCAGATTACTCCAAGTAAGGCACTACTCCCCATAAGGGGGTGCTAAAGTAGCCTTTCTTTAACCCTGACCTGTTGCACAGAATTTTTTCAGTGATCATTAAAACAAAAGTTTTCTGTATGTGGCATAACTAGTCGAGTGGATGAGGGTTCAGGAAATGTTCTTGCTGCCTTGGCTTAGCTACTAACCTGCTGCATAATTTAGGGCAGTTCTATTATTCTATTTTTCCTCTTGATATTGTAAGCTCTTGGCACCTGGAACTATCTCTTTAAAAAGAGCCCAGGAAGCCCTGGGTCTTTTCCTGGCTTTGCCACAGACCTGCATAATGCTCTTGAGTACATCACATCACTTATCTGTGTCTTGGTGCAAAATGGGCTATAAAGATACTCACTCAGTTTTGGAAAGTGTTTTGAGTTGTACTGATGAAAAGTACTAGATAAGAGCTATAATGTACAGCACCTATATACATTATAGGGTCAGGTTGTTTGCTACATTTGGGATCAGGAAGGAATTTTACCCCATGATTAAAGAAGGGACTTAAAGAATGGGCTGCAGGGGGTTTTGCCTTCCTCTATGGTGGGGAGTGCGGTCTTCTTCTTTGGATCTGTGTGTATTTTAACAAACTACTTCCTATCCTTGCAGTGGCAGGACACTGACAGTGCCCTTACTTCCTGCTTCACCTGTGGCCATTTAGGGTGTTTTCAGGCAATGTGCACAAAAGAGTTGTTTGTGCAGTTTTGTTTGGAAAAGGTTAGACAGACACTCATCCAGGATGGTATAGAAGATCCTTCCCTGAGCAGGGAGTTGGATTAGATGACCTGCTGAGGTCCTTTCCAACCCGACTTTCCTATGACTATGATTCTTTCTCTCTCTTCTTTCTCTGTATGTATGTGTGTGTGCGTGCATGTGTGTGTTTAGAACACAAACCAGAAGATACTGAAACTGTAATAATAAAAATAGGTAAGGAAGAGGCTCTTATTTTATCCACAGCAGATTGCTCCCCTTTTTTTTAGCAGTGATAGAGGCATTTCCAGCTTAACACACAAATATTAGACATGATATAAGCTGCAAAATCCAAATCCAAGCAATCCAAAGTTAACAGCCAGGTTTTGGGACTGACAGCTACCCAAGGCTGACTGGGTCCCCAAATCCCCCATTCTGGAAGTGTTGTGTTGCATTTTTAGTTCAGATCTTTTTTTTCTTCAGGCCCTTACTCTAAGCAAATTTCTTGGAGCCATAAGTGCATTACAGGCCATGATAAAAAGCACATGACAGACAGAAGGATTTATATTTCAAGCCGCTGACATTTTAGGGTTCCCTAGTGGGAACGCCACTCTTTAAGCATTTTGCTCTGGTCCCTCTGTGAATTCCAGTGGAATCAGGGGAAGGGGCCCCAGGAGCTCTTGAAAGCCAGCATGTAATACACATTTCATGGCTGTCTAGTTACAGGTATTTACCCTGCACACTCTTTGGGGGTCATTTTTCAGTGCAGCTCTTTGAAGAAGTTTCCACTCCAAAGGCTGGGAGGTGACATTCTTAACGGGACCAGGGGCTGTTTGTGGTGATGGCTGATGTCATGAAATGGAGCCAGGAGACTTGGGTGGAAATGCCCAAGATGTGTTCAAACAAAATCTTCCCACTACTCATGTGTATGCATCCCTTTATTCTGGGGGGCTTGTCATATATCTGTAGGTCCAAGAATACAGCTATACCTTAGCAGGCAGCAAACACCTCAGCAGAGAATTCTGTAATATGCATGGCTTCCGTCCCCCGCTCGGTACCTGGATTATGTATAGCCCTGTCCTGGTTTCCCTTGCATGCAGTCTAGCACTGACTCGGATTAGGGTCTACCAAGCATGGCAGCAGGCAGCATCTACCTCTCTTTGTTCCAATGATCCAGACCCCACTGGACCTCATCTTGCCCCTAAAAGCATTGCCACAGTGGCATGTGAATGCATCTCACATTCCCACTAGGAGAAATGCAAGCTCAAATAGTTGAATGCAGAGACCACTAGCCACCAGGGATGCTGGCACAGATCAGCCCTGTGTGTCATGGATTTGTTCCCCCATTCCAAACACTGATAAACCCAGCCTGCGCCTAAAGCCTTTAGATATTAAAAGAAAGGCCACTAGCAGCTTGAAAACATCATCTCTTCTGTCATGACTAAGTGATGAATGCTACTGGACACAGCACAGCAGGGAGGTTTGGAGAGCCCTGGATGGCTAGCTGAGCAAATTGAGGGGAACAGAACAACTTGAAATAAGGCGTAGTTACTGCAATGAGGGGTGCAAGAGAAACACCACGATGGATCAGACGGGTGGCCTCTGGCTGCTGTCTGAGAAATGCTATTGCTTTGTCCCCTTTGTTTGCACCTATATGTGCTGGTTTCTGGTTCCAATATTTGCTTCACAGCTATCAGGGGTGAACTCTCCTGCACCACCACTGCCACCACCAGCCTTTCATTTTCAGGTTTATTTGAATAAATCCTGAATACAAAACACAGCCTAGCTTGCCCCAGCCAGACAGGGAAGTGCTGGGGAATTCAGAAACAGCTTCCTATGACTAAACAGGCTGCAAATGCTGGTTGTTCAGACTGGCAGAGTGAGGGGAAAAAATAGCATTGAATAAGATTGCAAGACCAACCTACAGCTACTTGATGCTCAAAAATGCAGGCTAAGCCACTGAAAGGGACGGAGCCTCCTCCAGTTTAATTGCTAAATATTCTCACCTTTGCCCGACAGTCTGAGGTTTCTGGTGGGAACACCACAGAAAAGGAAATGTGTTTCCTATTAAGGTTTTAAATGAAGAGGGCCCAATCTTGCAGCCCTTGCTTCATTCATCCTCCAGCAAAATTCTCATCATGACTGAGAGTGTTGTATTATCATCGTACGCCTTCGCTCGAGTCAAAAGAACTTAGACAAAGCCAGTGTTTTATAAAGATTTGGCCCATAGACAGGACTAGAGTACTGTGCTGTAATTCCCAAATATTCCATCTTATCAGAAGAAATGTACAGTGTTTGGGGTGTTTTCTGATATACAGTTACTTTGACAAGGGGATATGGAGAGGGAATGACAGAGGGAGCTTTCATTACAGATCCCTCCCTTAAATGAGAGCTTATTTTACAGAGCTGCTAT